TCCATCACCACCTCCCTCCCTCCATCCCTCCCACCCATCCTCTTTCTCTACCTCCCCACCCGCTCTCTCTCCCTCGGCACCCATCTCCCCAAAAAACCCTAAAGCACGCGCCTTTCCCCACCCACACTCCCCCCAAATTCCCGCCGGAGCCGCCGCCGCGCCGCCACGGAGGCCCAGCCCCCGCCCCGGCCTCGCTGCGATCCCTTCCCCGGCGGCCGCGACGCCCCTCGCCGTGGATCGTGCGTGCCGAAGCGTCTGGGGTCGAGCCTTGTCATCCTCACAGGTTTGGTTTGATCTACTCGATCCCGTCTCTGCGAGCTCCTCCTGCCTTTTCTTGGTGGATCTGGTGAGGGGGCAGGGGCTCCGTCGTTTTCACCCTAATCTCTCGGCGTCTCCTTTTCTCCTCGGGTCAAATCTTTCCGTTTCTTGCCTCCTCTCCAAGCCCCCGCGGTAGATTTACGTCTGGCGGGTGAAAAAAAAACCATGGATTTAATCTCCTTTTGTACTAATCGGCTGCTACATCTCCACCCCATTTTGGATTAATGATTTCATGGAGTAGGACTTGATGTTTGTTCCTTGCGTAGCTTGCGTGGCCCGGCAGGTTTTCGGAAGGGGATCTGCTCGTTCGTCCAAGCAGCGACGCCTCCTTTTTTTTGCCTAGGTTTCGTGGCTATCATTTCATGGATCTCGGCGAGGAGGGTAACCGCCAGGCCAAGAGCGGTGGGGAGAGGGGCTCATGGGGGGTGGGCTGTACTGTTTGCCTTGCTTGCTTTTTTGTCTGCGTGGGGTCTTGGCAGTGTTTCCAGCTGTGCATGGGCCTCTCGGGACTCGAGCCCCACCTCCCAACTCCGTGGCTCTCGGATGCTGTCGCCGCGCGTCTATATTTCATGTCGCCAAAAAAAAGGGTCGAAGCTTACACTGAGCTCCGCAGTCAGTAGCAAGGTCGGCCTGGAGCGCACAGCTTTATTGCTTAGTTCCTTACCATTAGCTGCGTGTCTACACGTCTCCGCACAAGTAGCTGCGTGGGCGTGTTTCCTTTCCCTCGGTATGCATGTTATCTGCTGAGGATTGGTTGGAGATGTGGCTGGGTTGCATTCATTACTGTCTTAGCTTGGTTTGCTGTGTGATTGTTTACCTTTGTGTCGTGTCATTCTCTATATTCCATGAGCTGAATGAGTTTGCTTGCTTGCATGCATGCATGGATAGACAAGCTAAGCCATCTTTGTGTTTTGTTCCTCGTCTAATATGTGCTTGCTTCTTGTTTCAGGCTTTCAACCTACCTAGCCATCTTTCTTGAGACGTGTGCTCAGGGTTCTGCATGATGATCCAAGCTGCGTTTTGTTTCGCTTCTGCGTGCTGCTTCGGTGTTTGAGTTGTTCCGTTTCGTTGCTGGATCATCACAAGAAGGTGTTCTGTGTTGTGCAAGTACCAATGGAAGTGGCTGCAGTAGAGGAGAGCGATGGAGGAACCAGTGCTGCACCAGCGGAACTACCCAAGCGTGAGGGTGCAGTGGTCGCTGAAACTGATGATACGTCAGCAGAGCAGCCATGCAAGCATTTCTCCATATGGTAATCATCTCTGTTACCTCGTTAACTGTCCTATCATGCTATATGGCACTGGTCAGCTTACACTTTTGCACAATCCTTTGAGCTTACGTTTACATACTCGTCTGAGTTTAAGCATGCATGCATTGTAACATGCATATGTATGACTGTGTTTTGATGCAAGACGAATCCAATTAATGGTTAGTCAAGTGCATTTATTAGTCTTGGTTAGCAGTGATTTCTGCTAACTACTTGTTATATTTGGCGTTTCATTCTCTTTTCTACTTCATATCCACCATAGTCTTCAGTATGGATGCATCTGAGCACATGATATCATCACTGCTACACAAGTGCGTGTCTATATGAGTGTCTCTTCTCCCAGCTACCTGGCTGCTGCTGCTTTGCAGCCTTGAGGAATATATATTCAAATAATACTACTGTCTTTTGTTGAGTAATTATTGTGTGTTTTTCATATTTGTCTTGTTTACGTGGATACATGCATTTATTTTAGCCATGCTCTAGATTTGTACTCCCTCCGTTCGGAATTACTTGTCATAAAAATGGATGTATCTACAACTAAAATACATCTAGATACATTCATTTCTTGGACGAGTAATTCCGAACGGAGGGAGTATTTGTGTACCTGACATTTTTTTTTGACGCGTTTCATTGAACGGGATTTCATCAAAAGGATTAGATAATCATAACTTATGCATCAGCAAGCTGCTCTGAGTACAACAGGCTTCTCAATATGTTCTACATATATACAACATTTACATAATCTACTTCTCACTATCATCAGCCCCCACATCCTCTCCTCTTGGTGCCAATTGCTGATCCCAACCCTCTCTGTCTGGGCAGTTGTTAACATTTCCATCCGGCTCACATGCATCTGCAGCGGGTCCTGAAAGTGAACAGCAACATCTGCTTCCATTGTGTGTTTGTCATATTTATCTTGTTCATGCGGATGCATGCATTTATTTTAGCCATGCTGTACAATTGCATTTGTGTACCTGACATTTTTGTTGACGTGTTTCATCGAACGCGATTTCAGCAAGAGGATTAGATAATTATAACTTATGCATCAACAAGCTGCTCTGAATACAACAGGCTTCGCAATACGTTCTACATATACGACATTTGCATAATCTACTTCTCACTTTCATCAGCTCCCGCATCCTCTCCTATAGGTGGCAATGGCTGATCCCAATCACCTTTGTCTAGGCAGTTGTTAAATTTTCTATCCGGCTCATGCATCTGCAGCGGTTCCGGAACAAGTGAACAGCAACATCTGCTTCCATTTTTGCACACTACTTCTTTCCATCATTAGGCAGCGAGTCAGCACTAGGAGCGCTGACAGGCTCGCTAGCTGCGACAGACACATCAGGCGATGGTTGCAACTGCACCGTATCAGCTTCTCAGCCTTGGATTTTTACCATCACGAGTGATTTCAGTGTTGAGAACCTCCTCTCCCAGAAAGCGGGAGATTCATCAGTTGCCACATCAGCTTCAGCCGGATCTGAAGTACCATCAGTTTTTGCTCCTATTGTGCTAGGAAGCTCTCTTGTGTGTCTGACATTTCCATAGAACCAGCTGATAAATATAGTAAAATGAACCTATATAATTTGGATTCTCATTATAGCTTGGCCTAACTCTGTTCCCATTTTTCTCATGCCTAGATTTGCATGTAAAGGGGTGGTTAGAAGATAGAACATATTCCCTCCAAATTTACATTATCTTCTAAGGTTTCCATGTTTAGTCATTTGCAGTGTTAGCCGTTTTTCAATTCCAAGTGGACCGAATTGCCCCAGAATTCTCTTCCACGTTCATAGCGCACTCCTTCCATCCAGGATTTTTAGGCGTTAGATCCAAGGCTGCGATACCAAGGAGTATCGGGAAAGATCCAAATTTACAATTATGTTCTAAGGAAACGTTTCCATGTTTAATCATTTGCAGTGTCAAGAGAGTTTAGAGTTCATGTCGATCAACCATGCACCCCTTTCAGATGGCTAGAACTGATTAATGTGCACTTCATTAGTCAAGTCCTTTATAGCTGATATAACAGTTTTTGCCTCATCATTATATATTTTCCACTGTGCTGGCATATGTGTTTTCTGAAAAGGCAACTTTTTCATTTGTTCCTTATCTTTTTTGGTGAGAAAACCAGATGTCTTGGACATATTAGACATGCAACCTCCTTTTCTTTCTTTGTGTATCTTAACTAGCATGCAAACAGGTCCTATTTCTTTCTCACATGATTTACGTTGGTTATTTTTATGAAATTGCTATTAATAACTCAATTATTTTAGATATATATGCATCAATATATTTTAGTCTTAGTTCATTTAGACCAATTACAATTGTTCATGTCTATTTGCACTTCACCCACTACAAAAGATTAAATTATATCAACAAGTCTATTTTATATATTTGAACAAAAAGTCTGTTTTACATATTCTCACATCACAAGAGGTTACTAATTCAATTGTGTTAGTTGCCCCGCATGTCAATAAAGGCCCTCTGTCTGAACTAGGTTTATGGTACAACCTATGAATGAATATGTCTTAACTATTTTTTTTGAGAGAGAATCCGTCTACACTTGCTGTTGAAGTGGGTTCAATATTGTAGGCAATATATGAGTTTACACTTTATTCATTGAAGCAAACAATGTGCTATTACATATGATGTGTATCTTATAATGATCTATCTTTATGCCAGCGGGTATGTTTCTCAGAAGATGGATGCAAAATTCTGCTCTCTATCTCAGAGTTTCAGTGCTCAGAAACAACTGGATGAACGCCATAACAGTTTGCGCCCGTTCTCAGTAGCAAAGTTTCGACGATGGGATTGCTCCGTGTGCTTGGATGAGATGAAAATCTTAGATGACAGAACAACATCTAGAGCAGTTTTTACGGCGAAGAATGTCTCAAGGGATGGTTGCTCTATTAGATTTGTTCAGAGCACTTTAGTGCCTACTAGCGTTGATTTCAGAAGCTTATTTCCCTGCACACAACTGTTAGCTCAAGAGAAGAATCCTGATAGATCAGCACTTCTGAAGAGTAACATAGAAAACAATTCCAAATGCAACTCACATTATGAGGCGAATACTGATCCACCCATGAAAGGTATGGTAGGTCTTGCTAAATTCCTAACTAGCATTTTCTGGTCTGAGTGTAGCTAACATAGCTGTTATATCCTCAGATTTACAGGGGCCGTCAACTAATCAAGTTACAATCGCAAATATCTCAGATAATGCTTCTGTGGATATCATGGCCTTACCTGAAGATTCCCAGATTAGAGTAAGCAGAGAAGGAAATGCCATTGCAATCCCATCCAGTTCAAAACTTAGTGAAGCAAGTATGAAGCTTGATGCAGAAGAAAATGGGAAAAACAAGGAGGTACTGAGTGTTGACCACACTATTCCCAAAGTTGCTAAACCAATATCTGGGCAGAAAGGTGATCAGGTCGGTAACAGTGGTCCGTGTGAAGAAGCAGCTCCAAAAAGAAGTATTGGATCTACATGTAAGAAGAAGAAGAAAGGGAAACGTATTGCACAGGTTGGCAGTTCAGATGTAAAAGTCGGTCGGAGAAAGCAAATAAAGCTTCGGCTGCTATCAGAAATCATCAATACTGATCCGGTCGGGGGTTCTAGAAGTGGTATTGAAGTTAATGGCGAAAAGGTTGCTGATCTCTGCGAGGATGATAGAAGTACGGATGATGTTCCTTCTGTTGACCAACAGGCAGTGGGAGAAATCTTGTCAAAAACTACGAAGAACGTGGCAAAAGACAAAGGAGTTGATGTTGAAGATGATGAATCTTCACTTATGAATTGGATGAAGAGAATACCGAAGAGATTAAGAACTGAGAAGAAAGATTCAGAACACAAGGATTGTGATTCTTCTGCTTCAAAATCTACTGCAGATGTATTTGCCTCTAAGGATACGCATCAAGATTTTCCATCCTCAGGTTGGAAATTGAGCAAGAAAAATACCCTACCTACTACCAGTATGCAGCAAGGTGATGAAAATATCCAGAATGATAATCTTGAGAGAAATACACAGAGCACAGATGACATGAGGCGAATGGAAGCTGAGACCTCCACAGAGAGGTTCTTATCAAATGTAAAAACCGTTAGTTTGAGTAAGAGGAAAATGCCTCCAACTGCCAGTATCCAGCATGATGGTGTTGTTCCTGTTAGCCGACAGATGTTGAGAGAAATATCGTCAAAAACTGCTAAGAAGAAGGCAAAATACAAAGGAGTTGATGCTGTTGATGCTGAGGGGTCTTCGCTTATGGATTGGATGAAAAGAATTCCGAAGAAATTAAGAACCGAGAAAAAGGACACGGAATACAAGGATAATGATTCTTCTGCTGCTAATTCAAAATATAATACTGTTGATAAAGTTGCTTTGAAAGGTGTTCAAGATGATTTTATATCCTCAGCTCAGGAGTTGAGCAAGAGAAAAATACCACCTACTGCCAGCACTAGGGAAGGTGATGAAAGTATTCAGAACGATAATCTGGAGAGAGATACGCAGAACACAAATGGCATGTGTGAAACTGAATCCGATAATTGTAGGCAGAGGTCCTTGTCAAAGGTAAAAAAGATGAGTTTGTGTAAGAGGAAAATTCCTTCAACTGTCAATGCGGAACATGATGATGTCAACACTGAAGAGACGGCTGTACTCAGGACAGATGATCAATGCCAAATGGTACCCAGAAAGTCTGTGCAGCGGCGCCTGAAGAAGGTAAGAATCAAGCCGTGTTCCTTATGGGTGGTCGGCTTTGCCCTGTTCCCATTTGTTGCGAATCATGTGGCATTTTGTTCTATTTAAATTACTATGATAGGCTATATG